TAGGTTGATAGTCCCAGCTACTTGGAAGGCTGAGGCAGGAGGATTGCTTGAGCCCAGAAATTTGAGGCCAACCTGTACAACACAGTGAGACCTGTCTCAAAAAAAAAGTGGGGGGCTAGGGATATGGCTCAGTATTCCACTGAATACTTGCTGAGCATGGGTAAGGCCTGTGTCCAATCCCCAGCCCTTCAAAATAAAGAAACAAAGCTGGGGGTGGTGGTACACGCCTGTAATCCCAGCACTTGGAGGCTGAGGCAGGAGGATGCTTGTGAGTTCAAGGTCAGCCTGAACTGCATAGCGAGACCCTGTCTCAAAAAGTAAAAAAAAAATAAATAAAGAAGTAAACAAAACGCACACACCAAAACCCTCATGTCTTCTGATTCCCAGAGTCTTACTCGATTGTTTTGTTTTGTTTTTGTTTTTGTTGTTTTGAGACAGTGTCTCACTATGTAACCCAGGCTGTGCTTGAATTCACCATGTAGCCCAGGCTGGCCTCAAACTCATGGTGATCCTTCTGCCTCAGCCTTCCTTCCGAGTGTTGGGATTACAGGCCTGTGCTACCACACACAGCTCTCCATTGTTTTATTTTTAACTCAAATTACTTTGTCTAAAATAACTTTACTAGGTGGTGTACACCTTTAATCCCAGCACTCAGGAAGGCTGAGTCAGGAGGCTTGTAAGTTCCACGTCTGCCTAAGCAACTTAGTGGAACCTGTCTCAAAATAAAAAATGGCTGGGGATGTGGCTCAGTGCAAAGGCCCTGGGTTCAATCCTCTGTACCAAAAATAAATAAAACAGGGGCTGGGGATTTAGCTCAGTGGCACAGCGCCTGCCCGGCAAGCGCAAGATCGTGAGTTCGATCCCCGGTACCGGAAAAATACCAAAAACCAAAAAAAAGAAAAACATAAATAAAATAGGCATGGTAGCACACACTTGTAATGCCAGCACGCTACAAGGCTGAGACAGAAAGAACACAAGTTGGAGCCTAGTATGGGCAATTTAGTGACTTAGCAAGACCCCACCTCAAACTTTAAAAAATGGGAAAAAAAGAACAAAAAGGACTGGGCTGAAACTCAGTGTGAGAGCCCTGTGTTCAGTCCCTTCTACCATTAATTAATTAAAAGTAACTTTATCTGATTATTAAAATCCTATTCATTCGCAAGGTACAATTCATATAGAGTCACAGATCTTATCTGTACCAATTTCCATAGCAGAGTGAATCACTCTATTCAGCTGTCCTATATTGCTTGTGTGTCTATTTAATCATTCACTTTTTTTTTCCAGTGCTGGGAAATCAAACAGAGGCCTGTACCTGCTACGCAAGTGCTCTACAACTGCACTAATCCCCAGCCTTAATCATTCATTTGTTTTTTTACTTTACTGGCCACTTGTGTAATAATTCTCCCCTTACTATACTCTGAGAGTAATCTAAACTCAGGGCCTTCACACTGACTACATCCCCAGCCCTCCACGTCCTTTTTTTTTTTTTTTTTAATTGTACTGGGTGTTAAACCCAGAGCTTTTACACTGAGCTACATCCCACCCCTTTTTATTTTGAGACAGGGCCTCGCTAAATTGCCCAGGCTGGGCTGGACCTTGTGATCCTCCTGCCTTACCCTCCCACAGTACTGGGAATACAGATGTGTGCTACCATGTCGGGCTTGCAAGTTATAGCTTAACAAAAAAGGTTAAAGAAAGTACAAAAAATTAACCCAGCACTCATTAAGTTGGAAATTCATGATGTGACAAAGCAAAATGTTTAGAGATCTTTTAAGTTACTCGCTGTAACCCATGTGAGGGTCGAGAAGAGGAAGGTTAAAAACAAAAAAAGGAATTAAGAGAAAGGAAGTTTTTGTTTTTGAGATAATGTCTCACTCTAGTCCAGACCAGCCCTGAACTCACTGTGTGGCTCAAGCTGCCCTCATACCCATAATCCTCCGGCATTAGCCTCCCAAGTGCTGGGAATATGGGTGTGTGCCAACACACCAGCATAGGGAGAAACGTGTTTGAAGGAAAACAGCCAGAATCATGGTTAACTAGTCACACTGAAGACAAGCAAACTTAGTTCCAAGCCCAGATGGTGAGGTCTTAGCTGGAGTATTAAATCCTAGATTCTCATCCTTGAGAACCACTTTAAGCCTACTTTCCTTACTATAAAATGTAATTATAATAGAATCCTAAAAAAAAAAAAAAATAGAATCCTTTTCCTAGTATAAAACAATGTATACTAGGGACTTAAAATAGCCTGGCATATAATAAATCCTCAGTACATACAGCAGTGGTAGAGAAGAATTTAAGACTTGTTAACAAGCCAGGTGTGGTGGCGCACACCTGTAATCCCAGCACTCGGGAGGCTGAGGGAAGAGGATGCTTGCGAGTTCGAGTTTGAGGCCAGCCTGGGCTACAAAGTGAGCTCAAGGCCAGCCTGAACGGCATAGTGAGACCCTGTCTCAAACAGATAAAAAAGAAAAGACTTGTTAACATATTGGCTGTAGGGCTGAGGGCATAGCTAGTAGTAGTGCTTGCCTAGGATACCCAAGGCCCTGGATTTGATCCCCAGCACTGGAAAAAATGATAATGATGATGACAGAGAAAACATACTGAATATAAGCAAGGAGGAGGAATTAAAGCAAATGCCCAGAGAAGTATAAACACTAATGGAGCCAGGAATAGTGGAAAGAGCTTTGTGGTTGGCAGTCACTGGTGTCTTTCCTGGGAGTAGCTCTGCAAATACTCCTAAATGTCCAATATGATTTGATGAGCTAGAGTCAGGCTAAGATGCTGAACGAGTGGAAGGGTAGGGCCCAACGTCAGTGCTTGATGAAGCACTTAGAGAGGATGAGGTGCGTGTAGTCCTGAGGGATGAGTAAGCAGTGAGGTGACGATGAGAAGGTCATGAAGTGTATAAACACAAGCAAAGGCCTGCAATTAAGACAGCTCAGCGTGAACACTGGGTTACCGGCAGGTTGTCTAAGACATAGGAAACTAGATGGAGAAATAGAGGCCACACAGTGGTCACCCGCACTGGCCTTGCCGTGTACTGGACTGCGCCAGCCCTTTCTGCCTCAGAGCTGGAGGTGGCGCTGTCTTTGCACTGTCCACACAACAGGTGCAGACATTCTCAGCCCCGCGGCGCTCCACCCTGTGTCATACGACTGACATATCCTGTTTCCCTCAACTTGCCCCACAGGGTGTGCCAGCAGGATCAGCTGGATTAGAGTGTGGGTGGGGCTCCCAGGCTATGCCGTGTGAAGCCAGGGGCTGCATTTTTGTCCCCTCCCCTGTATTTGGGCTGGGCCACCAGTGCCCTGAGGAGGCAGGGGTATGAGCCATCCCACCCACTGGTGGTCCATGATTCATTCATCCAGGACACCACTGATAAACGTCTGCTAAAGGAGTAGCGTTGTGGTAGGTGCTTGGAATACACTGAGGAATAACTAAAGACACCCAGCCAACTGGAAAGCCAGCATGTAAGCATCCAACAAAATGTAACCGGGCACAGGACCCACAAAAGGAACAGCAGCTAGCTTTTATGTAGCATAAATAAAAGGCTAAAGCAGGCTCTGGGCTATTTTGCCTGTGGCTCATTTAATTTTTATGATAGCCCAAATGAGCTCATCTCATTTTACAATGAGCAAATTGCACGAGAGAGGTAAAGTGAGTTGCTCAAGGTTAAACAGCTTCTGAGTGGCAGAGTGGGCATTCATATCCAGGGAGCCACAGGTGTCCTTCTTCCACATGGTGGGTGCATTGGCACCCAGAGAATGTTGGCCTTTCGATAAATGCTAAGATTCAGAAACAGGAGTACTTACTGTGACCTGGGAGCAGCCACAAAGGCTTTACAGAAGTGGGACATGGTGGGCCTCGAAGCCTGAGTTATTTAGTGCAATTACCCCTTTCCTTTGAATCAGCATTTCCAGCCTGAATGCCAAAGCTAGAAAGGATCCTAAAAATCAGCTAGTCCTGTGGCTATCAGACTTTCTTAGAGGGTGTAGTTCAGTGGTAGACTTCATACTTCACGTGTGTGAGGGCTTGGGTTCGGTCACCATCACCAAAAAAAACAGAGAAACCTAGGCTGTGATCATTTTTCTTTTAAGGAGAGATGAGCAGAGTTCTTCCCTGTTTGAGAGAAAGCCCAGACATACCAAGCCCCAGAGGACCCTAAGGAGCTAAGGTGGTTGCTAAGGTGATTGCTAAGGTGATTGCTACGGTCTAGTCCAGTATCCTCAGAATCTCACTTTTAACCATGCTGTCCGGAGGAAGAGAGAGCATTAGCTCCCAAGGTAGAAGTGAAGGGGACATTTTTGTTTGTTTTGTTTTGGTTTGTTTTGAAGACAGGATCTCGATATGTAGTTCAGGCTGGTCTTGAATTCACTATGTAGCCCATGCTGGTGTCGAGCTTGTGGCCGTCCTCCTGCCTCAGCCTCTCTAGTACTGGGTCACAGGTATGCAACACCACACCTGGCTGAAGGGGATATTTTATTTTTATTTGTTTATTTATTTATTTTGGTCTTTTTGAGACAAGGTCTCGCTATGCAGTTCAGGCTGGCCTTGAGCTCACTTTGTAGCCCAGGCTGGCCTCGAACTCACAACAGTCCTCCTGCCTCAGCCTCTTGAGTGCTGGGATTACATGCGTGCACCACCACACCTGGCTGAAGGGGACATTTTAAACAGGGAGAAACTACCTTGGCAGTCAGGGGCTGCTACTTGTCTGTTTTCCCTCTCATCCTGCCTCAAATTGAACTGTTGACAGCCACAGATAGCAAAAGAAAATTAAAGGCGTTGGGGTTTAGAACTGCTGTGAAGACTGAGGGGAGTTACAGTGGGAGAGAGTCTTGAAGAAATGGCTGAGTCCTTTGGGGCGGAGAGTTCATGTAAATCTTCCTTACGTTCTGTACTCTGTTACGGTCGGCCAGTATGAATCCCTGTCAGGCCTTATATCTTATAAGAGAGAGGCGGGTGGCCAGCACCTTTCTCACTGTCACCTCTGCCTTCCCTAGATATGTGCAGGTGAAATTTGTCTGTATTCGGACCCAGTCACACAGGAAGAGAACACGAGAGGCGGACACGTGCCCAGCATACTTGCTTCTGCGATACAATGAGAGACTAGATAGACTATTTATCAGTGAACTGAACACCCAGCATGTCCATGTTGATTCCAAAACTGCTGGTCCTGGAGGAGACACCACTGGCAAATCTCAAAAGACAATGTGCCTGCAGCAGCTCCAGCTTGTGCAGCCCACAGTCAAGAAAGACCCTGACGTAGCTGAGAAGTCCCCAGTAGAACCGTCGTTTTGCCTAGATAAGGTACAGGCGCCCTCAAAGCCAGAGCAGGAAAGCATCACTCCTTCTGACCTGGCCCAAATAGCAAAAGTGATGAAGAACTTTCTTAAAGTAGATGAGGGTTCCATGGCCTCCTTCAGTGTGGGCACCAACCAAGACTTGGACCGGCTCAGCTTCCAGAGCAGCAAGATGAGTGACCTATTCATCCGCTTCCCAGAGAACCTCTTACTGCACCGGGTAGAGAACAGCCAGGGTCATATCCTCTATGCTTTCTTGGTGGAGAACAAGGAACGAGAGGGTCGAGTGGTCCACTTCTCTGTGCTCAAGGCCGAGACGGCCAGCTCTGTGGCCAAGATGCTGAGCATCTTCACAGAGTTCAACTCTGATTGGCCCAAGGTCAAGGTGGTCTTCGTGGACCCTTCATTCCCTCACCGGGCCATCTTGCAGGAGATCTTCCCCTCTGCCCGGATCCTCCTCTCCATCTACCACACAACCCGGCTCTTGGAGAAGAAGTTGCTTCGCAGTTCAGCAAATCCATCCTTTAAAAGGCTCATGAAGGAAGCCCTGCGGGAAGCTGTGTTTGTCACTTCTGATGCCAGCCTAAAAAATCTCTGTCAGATGTCCCAAACCCTCCTCGATGAGGATCTCTTCGGGTTCCTACAGGACCACTGGTTCTCCTGTGAATTACTGTGGTACATGCATGTGAGGAAGGGCCTGCATGCGTGTAACACCTACATGGACAGCCTAGACATTGTCACCAGCAAAGTGTCGAGCCTTTTCCGGGAGCAGCAGTCCCTGGTGGACTGCATCCTCCGTTTTGTGGATTACATAGACTTCTTCAATACCAAAGCCTTGAAGAACTTGCCCACAGCTCCTCCCAAATTAAAGAGAACCCGGACTCCAAGCATGCCACCAAAGGCCAAGAAACCTTTTGGAGTTTGTAAAGGGATCCTCACCAGGACACCACTGGAACAAACAAAGCCGGATTCACAGCAAGTTCAGTTGCAGCAGCAGCCCTCCCAAGGTGGCATGCTCGACAGCTTGCACCAAAGTGGCTCCGAACTGGCCTACAAGCTGTGCCACAACGAATGGGAGGTGGTGCAGAATTCCACCCACCTAATAGAGATGGCTGGCTCCTCAGTGGACGTTCAGCTGCTAGAGGACTCTCACCAGGTTAGCAAAGATGGCTGCAGCTGCAGCTGTTCCTTTCAGCAGTGGTACCACCTGCCCTGCCGGCACATTTTGGCCCTTCTGCACAATAGCCAGCAGCCAGTAGATGAAGCTATGGTGTGCCGCAGGTGGCAAAAGAAGTACCAGCACCTCCTTGGGCCTAATGGAGAACTTCGGGACCATGGTATGATCCTAAACACAGACCAGCCTGAAAATCAGGGTCGGAATGACATGATTCAGGACCTAAGCAGGGAGCTAGCAAACCTGCTAATGCAGACGGAGGGGTCAGAGCTGGAGGAGCGCTATTCCACCCTGCGTAAGATTGTGGACATCTGGGCTGATCCCTGCCAGTCAGCTGAGTCCAGCCAGCAGCCGGGAGACTTCAGGGATGTGGGTTGCCTCCCTTTCCTCTGGGGAAAACAAGAGGAAGAGGAGGAACTCCCTCCCGCTGAAGCCACGACACATGATTAAAACACTTGCCCTGGCACATTGGACCACAAACCCCTGCTGGAAGTCTGAGAGTTCACTGTGGGCGAGTCATGGTAGGGGTCGGTATTTTAACCAGTATGTTCCTAGATAGGGCTAGGGGGATTGTTAAAATAGGAGAGGGACCTCGCTGGATGATGGTCCTTTGATAGCCCCATTTCAGCCCTACCTTTGGCATTCCATAGGCACCTCATTCATTGTTCAAAGCCAAAGCTATCTCCATGTTGAAAGGTCATCCCTCTTTCTCCTCTGACCACTGAGATCAGATCTTAGTCTCCCTGCAGAGATGGACCTGTGCCCCAGGATAGGCTGAGACAAAAAGGAACTGTTTTCAGGGATAAAGGAAAGGAGGGTGATCCTTGATTGTTGCTGCTCTTTATGAAGAATCTGTCATTTGTATCTATTTTTATTCATATTAAATAAAGTTTTTAAAAAAATATGAAGTCAAGCAAGGGGAATGTGTTCTACTTGATCAAGGAAGGAAGAATTACATAGTAGGACTGCGGGGTTCATTGTCTTTACTGTCAGGAAGTGGGTGGATTTATATTCTTTTGAGACAGGGTCTCCAAGTGTTGTCCAGTCTGTCTTGGAACTTGTGATCCTCCTGCCTCACCCTCCTGGGTAGCTGGGATTACAGGCATGTGCCATGGTGTCTGGCTTGGGTTTATTTGTATTGCTGGCAGGTGCTCAACCATTGAGCTACATCCCCAGCCCTTATATGAATTTATTAACTTTAGAGCTAGGCATGGTGTCACATGCCTGTAACCCCAGCACTTGGGAGGCAGGAGCAAGAGGATCTCTGCAAGTTTGAGGCCAACCTGAACTGCATAGTGAAACCTTGTCTCAAATAGACAGAAAGAATGAATTTGTTAACTTTAAAAGAAATTGAGCTGGGCATGGTATTACATGCCTGTAATCCCAGTAATTGGGAGGCTGAGGCAGGAGAATCGTCGCAAATTGGTCTACACTTAGCTACAGGAGTTGTAGGCCAGCTTGAACGACATAGTGAGAACTACAACTGAACTACAAATGGGGTTGTGGAGCCAAGTAGAACCTAATCCCTCAGCTCAGAAAGTTAGCAGTTCACCATTTATATTGTCCTCTTCCTACCAGCCAAGCCTTCAGCGTTGATTTTGGGTTGCTTTATGCTCTAGTAATAAGAGTCCACATAGACTAGAAGAGACCTGAATTCTAGATTTGACTGCCAGAAATTTCTGGGGGACTCTGGGCAAGTCCCTAAGCTCTTTGACCCCGATTTCCTCATCTGTAAAAATGAGCGTGCTGGTCTGTTCTAATCCCCAATTTTCCCTCTAGATCTATATAAAGTTTTCATTGCAATAATAAACACCAACACTTGGTGTTGCTAGTTGGTCATCTTAATTGTGTAAGGCCTGGTAACCACCAGCTTTCTTCAGGGGAACCGAGGACGAAAATGGCAACTATTTGACTCCTGCACGAATTCACCGAGACATTAAGTCACAGCACCACTCTGGACCTGTTTTGTAAATTCTGGAGGGAGCTGGGCTGGACACTTTCAAGGTTCTGCTCTCGCTCGCTCTTCAGCTCTGAATTCCCTCAGCCTCAGGGTTGGGTTCCTGATCTCTGAGAGGAAGAAACGGAGGCCTGGGCCTCAGTTTCCCCACAAGGTAAAGTACGTGGTACATTTGGGACTCTTTCTCGATCCCTGGACTGCAGTTTGACATCACCACCACACCATCCCAAAAAATTGTTCAGTAAAACACTGCTATTTATTTCATTTTCACTTCCGGCCTTTGTGGGAACTTTTATAGCAACACGTTGCCCTTCCAGTCCTGTAGGCTGAAGGAAGGCTCCAGAATTGCAGTCACAGCGTTCAGGTGCGAGGGACCTCCCTCCGGCTTTTCATTGGTTACCGCCAGCCGTGCCCCTGGTAACCCTGGTAACAGTACCCACCCTCGCATTGCCGAGCTGGGATTGGTCCGTGGCTCCAAAAAAAAATCCGAAAACGAACTCCTCAGACCATTGGCTTGAGTCGCTGCAACTTGGCGCCGTGGTTGGTCAGTTTACAGGTCAGTCAGTCGGAGGCAGGGTCAAATAGAAATGGCGACGGAGCCAGGGTGTGGGTGAGTGGTTCTTCCGGAGCTGAAGGCGGTTGGGAAGCTCCTGCTCCCCGCTGTCAGACGTTACACAGCTCTGACAGAGTGGGAGGTTAACTGCTCTGACTCCGCCGGACTACAAACGCGAACGTAACATTCCCATCTTTCCCCGGGTTAAAGGTGAGGGGTCAAAGGCCGATTTCCCTTGCTTCTTGGCTTTTGGACCCAGTGGGAAGCCCTTAGGATCTCGAGCCGAAGACTTGGCTCTCGGCTACTAATAGAGTAATAGTGGGCAGATTCCTTAACGTCTTTAAACCTCAGTTTTTCATCTGTAAAATGTGGACAGTACCCCATCTGGGGGCCAGGTGGAAACATTTCAGTAGAGCATTTCAGCTAGCGGGGGCATATACACAGGTAGAGGCAGCGCACATTTCTCAGCCTCATTTTATGGTGGAAGGGATTGAGGTTCCGAGAGGGTCACTGACTTCCCCAGCATCCTGCAGCAAGTTTGCAGTAACTACAATTTTTAGTACAGTTGTGCTGTTTTGTTGTGTTTGCTTGCTTGCTTTTATATACCAGCACGAAAGGAAAGAATGGAAGCCAAGAAGTAATTTGCAAACATAAAGGCCATACAGATATTTAGAATGCTATTTTAAAAGGGAAAAGAGGGTAGGGATTTAGCTCAGCGGCACAGCGCTAGCTGGCAAGCACAAGGTCGTGAGTTTGATTCCCGGTACCGGAAAAAAAAAAACAAAAAAAGGGGTGGGGGGATGCGCAGCTCTGACCTTCACGTCTATTTATTTATTGAGACAAGGTCTTGTTACGTAGTTCAGGCTGGCCTTGAAGTCATTATGTAGCTCAGGTCCGACTCGAGACAATTCTGCCTCAGTCTGCAGAGTGCTGAGATTACGGGTGTGTACCACCACACCCATAATTTTAGGGGTGGGAGTACTGGGGATTGAACCCAGGGCCTTTGCACTAAGCTACGTCTCAGCCCAGCTGCTTTTCTTATTTTTCGTTTTGAGACAGGATCTCACTAAGTTGCTAAATTGCCCAGGCCGGACTCAAACTTTTGATCTCCCTCCCTCAGTCTCCCAGAGTACTGAGATTTACAGGTGTGCATCACCTCACCCAGGTCCACAGCAGTCCTCCTGCCTCAGCCTCCCGAGTGCTGGGATTACAGGTGTGTGCCATCACACTCAGCCCTGAGAGACCTTTCTTGACTACCTTAATTAAAGTAGCCTTCCCCACTCACTGTCTGACTTGTTGCTGAGGTTTATGAGTTTTGTAACCCCCATTATCTGATATATCCTTGCCTATTTGTTACAGCAGAACAGTGGTGACACATACTAAGTGTTCAGCAAATATGTCTAGATGAAAAATTGAAGAACCAAGTCCCTACTACCTCCTTAAACCTTTGTTCTTCCCCATAGGTGCGTCTTTGAAACAAGATCTAGAAGCCATGGCCCAGCCTCTACCCTTGACTTCCGTGGAACTTGGGAGGCTCAAAGCCTAGACAACAGTCCTGCAGAGAAAGTATTTTGACCTGGGCATTTAGATAGTTCCTGTCTCCCCCATGGCCCTAGCAATGCTGAATGGGCATCTGCTTAAAGACTCAAGTCTACCTGTGCTGCTGCACCAGGTTAGCAAGACTCCCCAACTAGAAACTTTCAACTACCAGAACTGCGTTATGCAAGATCTGTTTGCCCATTTCCCTGAGATCTTATTTATGCACCGCACCTATAACCCAAGGGGCAAAGTGTTATATACCTTCCTGGTAGATGGACCTCGAGTACAGCTAGAGGGTCCTCTTGCCCGGGCAGTCTATTTTGCCATTCCTGCCAAAGAAGATGCTGAAGGCCTCGCCCAGATGTTCCAGGTGTTTAAGAAGTTTAACCCAGCATGGGAAAGAGTCTGTACCATCCTGGTGGATCCCCACTTCCTCCCACTGCCCACTGTAGCCATGGAGTTCCCCACAGCTGAAGTCCTGCTCTCAGCCTTCCACGTCTGTAAATTCCTGCAGGGTAAGTTATATCAGCTGTCCCTTGAACGACCCGTGGAAAGGGTGCTTTTGACCTCCTTACAGAGCACCATGTGCTCAGCTACAGCAGGCAACCTGAGGAAGTTTTTCACACTCCTGAGCAGCTGCATCCCCCCAGCCCAACTGTCCGAGCTCCACTCGCACTGGCTGCTCAATGACCGCATCTGGCTGGCCCACCGCTGGCGAAGCCGAGGTGAGAGCAGCCGCTACTTCCAGAGCCTCGAAGTTACCACCCGAATTCTCAGTCAGTTTTTTGGCACCAACCCATCTGAGAAACAAGGCGTGGCCTCCCTCTTCCGATACATGCAGCAGAACCCTGGAGACAAGGAAACCTTCAACCCGGGGCTGAATCCCCAGAACAATCACACCGCCTCAGATGCCAGCCCTGAAACCCCCAAAGTAGAACAGTTGGTAGAAGCTGGCATCCAGAATTCCCTCAATGCCATCTGCACGGGGCCAGCAGCCCAGCTCTGCCTGGGTGAGCTTGCTGTGGTGCAGAAATCCATGCACCTCATTGGCTCTGGCTCAGAAAAGATAAACATCCAGATCCTGGAGGACACCCATAAGGTGCAGCCCCAGCCTCCTACCAGCTGCAGCTGCTACTTTCACCAGGCCTTCCGTCTGCCCTGCCGCCACATCCTTGCCATGCTTAGTGCACGCCGCCAGGTGCTCCAGCTGGACATGCTGCCAGCGCAGTGGACAGGAGGCTGCGCCACTAGTCTGGACGGCATCCTGGGCAGCAAGTGGAATGAGACTCTTGATAAGTACCTGGCAGTGACTCTCCTCACCGAGGAGGTGGCTCGGCTCTTACAGCACTGCAGCAAAGAGGAGTTTGAGCATCGGTACAGCACCCTGCGGGAGTTAGCTGACAGCTGGATCGGCCCTTACGAGCAAGTGCAGCTCTGATTCCTCTTCATGTTCAGAGATGCTAACAGACGTATGCCTCATGTCCTTCCCTGCACATGTGCATGCACACACAGTTGTGTTTTCCTGGCACTTCCATACCAAAGAAGGACAGGGGACTTCTACTCTACCATAGGCTGCTACCTAGCATATGTCTAGCTCTGTAAGATTGGAGTCTGCAAATGTTTTCTGTAAAGGGCCTAATAGTAAACATTTTAGATTTGATCATCACATACATCTCTCGTATATTCTTGGTTTGGTTTTGACAACTTATTCATAAGGTAAAAATGATTGTTAACTCAAACATGTTATACAGGGAACCCCTGGTCTAAAATAAGAGATAAAGCCAGGTATCGTGGTGCACGCCTGTAATCCCAGCACTCGGGAGGCTGACATAGGAAGACTGCTGCAAGTTTGAGGCCAGCCTAGGCTACAAAGTGAGTTCAAGGCCAGGCTGAACTGCATAGTAAAACCCTGTCTTAAAAAGACCAAAAATAAAGATACCAGGTGGTGAGGTTAGGGCTAGGGGTCGGTACCAGCTGCCCCAGTCACAAGAAAACTCACCTGACCCGTATCCCATGAGTGAGCTGGCCTGGGAGCCCTCCTACAGACCAAGAGGCTGCTCACCAGCTTGGTGGTTTTTCTCCTTCATTGTGTGATCAATAAAGTTGAATGTTGCATATTTTAACCCTTGTCTAGTTTTTTGTTTTGTAGTTCAGCTATATTGGAGAAGGAATAGATTTATTAGAGTTCTTTTCCTGCTTTGTCATGGACTGGTTCTACCTTCATTAGCAATGGGACTCTGGGCAAGCCAATTTTCTAAGCCTTCATTTGGTTCTCTTCATAAATGGGTATAATCCCAGCACTCGGGAAGAACAGCATCCTCATAGAGTTGATCAGATTAGAGTGGTCTTACTTGTCTGAATTCCTAGTGGGTAATTTTCCTTCCTTGCTGATGGTCCCATCACCTGCCTTCAACAGGCTGAGAAATTTAAGGCAGTAAGAAAGTTCACATTGCCTGTGACTTTTTTTCTTGGTACTGGGGCTGGAGATTGACCTAAGGGGTACTCTGTCGCTGGGCTTCATCCCTACCCATTTTATTTTTTTATTTTTTT